GGGAAATATGATACTGATTTTGTGGATGATTATGATCAGATTTATTGCTAATACAGTATCTAAGTATAGTCAATGAATTATATAATATAATTATATATAATGTCTTAAGGGTTGTAATATAAGCAGGTTCAGTTAGAAATGTACAGGTTTACAGTCTTTTGCCTTACAATGTTGAATGTACAATTACAAAGCAACAAAGCACCTAAGTAGTTACTTTAGAATTTTATCTCCACATACAACTATATGGTTAGGTTTTAGCACTTTTACTCACCCTTCCAAAAACGAGTGTTCCCCTGTCCTCAGGCGGGATGTACAACGCAGGCATCCCTGCCGGGGAGGGGATCCACCCAGAATCTGGCTGCAGTCTTGAAAAACCATTTTGCCTGACTCCAGCAGCATTTTACAGCCCTTCTGCAGGCTGACGTGTAACCAAGTCAGCCTCGATCACCATAGCTTCTCCATCTCTGGAATGCATTCATTATGTGAGCATCCAGACAGTTCCGCCTGAAATTCCTACCCGTCGTTCTCATCTTAGCACAGCTCCCACCTAGTGTTCCTATCAAAGGCCAAATCACATTGCCTGCTGGAGAAAATCACAAGGGAAGAGGCTGTGTGTGGGGCAGGGAGGATGAAGGGGAAGACACAACTGTCCTGTTGCACATACAGACAGTGTGTATGGTTCATATTTACCTTCATAGAATATGATTATTTAAAACCTGTCTCTAACTGGCTTAACAGGTGATCAGGGATCAGTTGGCTTCACCATTACTTTTGCCTTTCTTAGGACCAAAAAAGGGTTGATGTCCTACTTAGATTTGTTTTAACAGCCTGTGTGGTCTAGTTTAGATTGGAAGAGAGTTCAAAAGAGAAGTCAAGCAATACTGTATTGTGTAATACTTCCATGTTTACTTTACTGGATGCACTGGGTAAATCTCTCAGTGATACTTACTATTTTGTATAAAAATAACAACCCCCAACTTTACAAGGATGCTACTCAATTTTTAAGTAAATGTTATAAATGTAAAAGGCATATTGAAAAATAAAAAGGAGTCAGTGTATTAAAAATCTATTTCAGGAAAACTTGTGTGTCCTCATGAGTGGACAGATCTGAAGGCAGGGACTTGGGGGAGCAAAGTCCCTCCCACAGCAGGAGAAGAACCTGAACATACATAAATCTATTGGACCTGATGAAATGCATCCCAAACTCCTGAGATAATTGGCTGGTCTAGTTGGCAAGACACTCCACTTGACATGTGAAAACTAATACCAGTCAGGTGAAATACCAAGTGACAGGAAAATGGGAAACATTGTACCCATCTTTAAAAAGGGTAGAAAATCTGGAAACTACCAAACCATCAGCCTCCTCTCTGTGCCTGGGAAGATCATAGGACAGCTCCTCCTAGACACTGTGCTTTAGGGCAGCCAGCAGAGCTTCACCAAGGGCAAGTCCCCTCTGACCAAACCACTCACCTTCTGTGATGGAGTGACTACATCAGAGGACAAAGGAAGGGCCATAGATGTCATCTTTATTGACTTCTGTAAGACCTTAGCCATGGTCCACCTCATTCTCCTCTCTAAACTGGAGAGAGAAGGATTTGATGGGTCATTTATTTGGTGGATAAGGAACTGGATGGATGGTTGCATCCGAAGGGTAGTGGCCAATGGCTCAATATCTGAATGGAGATAAGGGACAAGTGGCTGCCTTTAGGGGTCCGTATTGGTACCAGGACTGCTTAATGTCTGTGACATAGACATAACAAGTGTCAGCAAATCTGCAGGTGACACCAAACACCAAATGGTGCTGTTGACACACCTGAAGGACAGGATGCCATCCAGAGGCACCTGGACAAGCTCAAGAAGTGGACCCATGGTTCAACAAGACTAAGGGTAAGGTGCTGCACCTGGGTCAGGGCAACCCTTGATATCAACACAGGCTTGAGGATGAACAGGTGGAGAGCAGTCCTGATGGGAAGGATTTAAAGGTACTGCTGGTTGGCAGGCTGGACATGAACCAGTCAGTTAGACCCTGGTGCTGACAACACCAAGGTAGTGGATACAATCCCTCTAAGGGCCAGCCATTTAAGAGCTAGACCCAGTGATCCTTGTGGGTCCCTTCCAACTCAGAATATTATGTGATTGTGTGACTGTGAATGTGCATTTGCACCCTACCTGGTGTGCTGTGTCTAGCTTTGGGATCCTCAGAGACATGGACCTGATGGAGCAGGATCAGAGGGAGGACACAAAAATTATCAGAGAACTGAAGCATGTCTCCTATGAAGAGCAGCTGGGGCTGCTCAGGCTGGAGAAGACTTCAAGCAGACTTTATTGTGGTCTTCCAGTGCTTGAAAGGGGGTCACAAGAAACATGAGGACAAATTTGTTAGTCGGACCTGTAGCAAAAGGGCAAGGGTAATGGTTTTGAACTGAAAGAGGGTAGATTTAGGCTAGATATAAGGAAGAAATTTTTTATGATGAAGGTGATAAAACAATGGAAGAGGCTGCTCAGAGAGGTGGTTGATTTCCCATCCCTGGAAATAGTCAAGGTCAGGTTGGATGAGGGTTTAAGCAACCTGATACATTTCAAGATGTCTCTGCTCACAGCAGGGTGTTTGGTACTAGATCACATCCTATCATAAAATGCTTTGAGTGGGAAAGAACCTTAAAGATCATCTCTAGTTCTAACCCCCCTGTCATGGGCAGGCATTGGTATAGCTCAATGTGCTATGGAGCCTGTGATGCAGGTGCTGAAATCAGGTGGATTGTCTTGTCATGGCATGGAGGGGCAGGGGGGAATGTGGGGTGAGGTGTAGTCTGCACGATGTGGTTCTTCAGCCTGATGCCCAGAAATGTTTTGCAGAAACCAAGTACACCTCCTACAAAGAAATATTCCATATAATGTGCTCACAAACAATGAAAGGCTTGACCACAGTCCCATCCACAGCTCTTCACACAGTAGTGGTTATAAAATGTACCCCGATCTTGCATCTAATCAGGGGATTGCATGATCAGCACAAAATTGCAGGTTGATGGAATGCTCTCCCCAGCAGGGACACCTTTTGGTAAGCCCTACACTCTCAGATACACTGAGTGTTGACCCTGATATCAAGCTTGTGGTTGCAATTACATTGTTACTGCCATATACAGCTACTCTGCAGTAAATGCACTGTCACCTGCAATCCAAAAGAACCTTGTGTGTTGCACTCAATGCACTTTGCTATTTGTGAATCCACCTATCTCTTCTGACTGCATCCAGACCTGTAGCTCATGTACTATTTGTGCATCTGGTGTGGGACCTGTAGTTATGACTTTGCAATACGAGGGATACATTTATGTCATAAGCAAAGATGACCTTTAAAGCTCCCTTCCAACCCAAGCCATTCTATGATTCTGTGTGGGCAGTAAGCCATTACAGCACATTTGCAGGACCCCTAATATTGTAACATCCATGAGATTTAACACTGGCAAAGACTGCCTCAAAAATATACAGCCAGAAAAACAACATCTCACTGATCCTAAGCATGAAGTGTAGTAGTCTCAGCAGCTATGAGCTTCAAATAAACTGTTGGTCAATACAATTGCTTACTATCCTCCCTGTTTATTATTTCTCTTTCTGACTGAATCAAGAAGAGAAGGAATGGTCACACTGGGAAGTCATGCACATTCTAGTAAAGAAGTCACTATTTTGGGGTGAATTCCACCTACTTTAGGAGGCTAACTGAAGACATGTATGTCCCAAACAGTCCTGCAGAGACAATAAAAAGATAAACTACTCCAGATGTGGAGGAGAAACCTAATTCAGATGCCTTCACTCTCTCTTCTCTATTGAAATATACACCACTTGAACACATTATATTCATTCCCCTGCCCCCAGTTTGTGCTGGGAATCTGGTAAGTCACAAAGTTTTTCTTTTGTAACTTTAGAATGCAGACATTATTTATGGGTCTCTGAAGGTACACCAAATCCAAGAATGCTGCAGCATGCACATGTCTATATTCAGTCATCTGCACAGGCTACTGTGAGTGACACCTTACTGGACCATTTCTACAGGATGAATGCTGGTGTAAGAGACAGGACTTTTGCTGTCTACCACAACCCCCATGCACCATAACTCCAAGGTTCTGAGATCTATTGACAGAGTTTTTGCCTTTCACTGACAGGTGAAGTCAACTATTACTAGAGAATTAAGCGCCTTCTTCAAGAAGAAAAATTGCTCTCTGTGTATCCTTATCAGGCACACATTTAAGATACTACCAGATGCACATACTGAAATTGTATCAGCAAATTAATTCCCAGTACGCCTGCCAGAAATTTTTAATAGCAGTTGTAAATCTCTTCAATCAATATAAGCCAATAAAAAACATGCTTAAAAATAATTTGAGAGGAATTAACCACAAAGACTGGCCATGTATTTTCAGTTACAACTGAATGTGAACTTCTAAATTTTAAAGTCAACTGGTAGGGTGTCTACTTTGTTTTCTTACATCAGGAACAGACAAAAAGGTGCCCAGGAGTCTTTCCAATAAATCCAGACCACATACACACTGGCTTTTCTGGTTGCCAAAACTACCCCTACTGCTGGATGACTGTTACTCTATATTAATTTGGAGTGCTGGTGTAATTGCTGAGAATGGAAAGGATGGCATAGAAAAACCTAGCAAATGTGAGAATTCAGAAAGTTAACAGGTCGTATTCTACTGTCAAGTTGTGGAATGTGTTGTCTGATTTTGTGCTTTGTGCAACAGAGCAAAAACTGCCTTCCACATTACTTTTATACCTATTCTGAAAATTGAAAAGCTGAATATGACAATATCACTTTGCTTGTTAAAAAACCTGGATCAAAGTGGAGCCAGAGAATCATTTCCCTAGGTTTAGCTCCACACAAGAAAAGATTTCTTTCCTCCAACAGAGCAATGTGAGCTCCAAAGTCCTCACCTAAAGTTGTTGTTAGAAATACAGACAGAATTCAAACGCTCATTAAATAAAGACAGGACAGAAAAATGTTTTAAACCATTTTAGGAAGTTAATTTATTGACAATATATAATTGTGAATGTAGATGATTATATTCTAGACAGCTATAAGGTGTGGTAATTGGCGAATCCACCTATTTTCTGTTAAATTTTTTGCCAGCTGTATGATACCAAAACTTCAAAACCAACATTTCCATTATCAAATGGTACAAAATATTCATTTATTTAACTAAAAGCTGTGTGTGAAAATTTCTACCTATGAATAACGTGATGTTTCATGCCATGCCCCATCTTCCCATTCCAGCCAGGGAAGTCCGTCAGCACCGTCAGTGGGACCAAGCATTGATCCTCTTCCTGCTCCTGCCGCAGTACAGCAGATTCTTCCCAGCCACACAACGATGCAAGGCCAGAGTGAAGGCTCCTTTACTCCCCCTCCTGGGAGGCCCGAAGTTCAGCTGCTGCCTTTCCTCACAGAGTAGTAAACAGCCTGCCTTCTGTTCAAGAAATGAAGCACAGCCGAGCTGGATGGATTTTGCAAATGAAGGCAGGAGCTGGGAGGGGGCAGAGCTCATCACCCAGTTATCTGTAGAAGGCAGCCCCACTGGGACTCCTCTCTCCCGGGCTGAGGAAGCTCAGGAGGCCCCAAGCCATGATCCTGCTCCATTGCAATCCCCCCTCTCAGACTCTCTTATGCCTGGAACATCCTGGCATCCCGGCCCTCTTCCCTCCAACGGCACCGTGGGGCATTTTCCCTAGGAACCAGTCAGTGCATCAGTATGTTGAACAGCACCTGCAATGTCATCTCCAACCAAGACCCCCCAAACTTGCTGATTTCCACCAATAGCAGCGGTATGACCAGATAATAGGGCAACAAAGTAATGCATGAACGATCCCAGTGTAGACAGCAATGTACATTTACTACAACCTGTCTGAATGGCATCTGGAATTTTTAATACCACTAATTCAAAAAGAATTATAAGAAAAAGCTCTAAACTAGGTGAGTGGCGGTAGGTTTTCTAAACACAGATTTTGCAGGTTTAAAAATTGAGCTTTCACACGAGAATAGGAAAAACTATACTGAAGGAGAAACACAAGCAGCTTGTAAAACTGATGACAATGGAGCAAGCCCTTATGAATGCTTCTCAACCCATCAATCATACTGACTCCCAGCCACGCCACACCACCATTCCAACAGTCTACGCACTTTGAGACAGACATGATTCCACACCACATGGGATTCCAAAATCCCCAAGTTTCAGGAAAATAGATTTTGTCCCGATTTTTGTGACAGATGGAATTGATAGTCTGGGGATGAAAAAAAGCGCCAGTTTTGACAGGCAACAGATACCGATGCCCCTTGTGGTTGGAGACGATGTTGCTCTGGAATTAAGGTAGCACTGAAATGAAAGGCAATGGATAAATGCACGACTACTTACTTCGTTGCGCTCTTCTCCTTGTGCCTTAATATTTTTGTTTCTATTTCCTTATAAATTGAAAGTGTAACAAGAAGGCAGAACTTCAGCAAGGGATTTTGAATTAAATTAAAACTCTAAACAGCTTTTTAAAAACATTTTACAAGATGGCAGATCAAGTATCAAAGTATCGAAGAACTATACCGGGATCTACAGCCAACAGGCACCCTCGTAAGTCAGTGTATCAAAACCGTGCACAAGAATTGCAGGCGAGAAGCTGAGCTGAATGACTTTAAAATCGGTGGGGTATGCGGCAAGTGGAAAGCTGCAATACTGAAAGTACGGCAGAGAAGTACACGGTCGCACTACACCACTAGCAGTTAGCTTTGCACTCCCGGAGAGTACCAGCACACTGAAACCAGGACCTCCCTTTCTATTTCAGAAAGAACAAAGTCGGTCCCATTTTGAGCCTAATCCTCCCTACCGTTCTGGTAGCAGCTCTGCCCTCACTTGAATCACTGGGAAGTTTGGGAACACGCGTCACTCGAGCTAGAGAACTCGTTTTTCCCCTCCTCGTCGTAGGGAGCAGGACCAGCGAGGGTAGCACGCCTGAAGCCCGGCGCGGCCGCTCCCGCAGCGCCTCCGGCCCGGCCGCCGCGCCGCCTTAACGGGAGGAGGGGCTCCTCGGGGGGCTGTCACTCTCCTTAAGCCTTTCCTTTCAAGCTTTGAATGTGAGCTGCCCTCCAGCCCCCCTCTCTCCTTCCCTCCCTCCAGCACATCGTAAAGAGAAGGAGGGGGAAAAGAAGAAAAAAAAAAAAAAAAAAAAAAAAAAAAAAAAAAAAAAAAAAGGTTTCAACAACAGGCTGGGCCAATGGCAAGTGGCGAGGCAGGGAAAGGGGGCCGAGCGAAGGGAGAAAAAGTGGAGAAAGGGAGAAAGAGAGCGAGAAAGCGCAGGCTGGGGGGGTTGTGTAAAAGAAGAAGCGTTGCTAATTTTTTTTGTTTGTTTGCTTTTCCATGCATGCATAATGAAGCCTAATCAGAGCACGTTGCTGCTGCTCGGAGGGCACTTTTGTATTTAAAGCCTTGCAGAGAAAAAAAGATCCACAGACGGATCCAGAGAGCAGCTTGCAGGGCTTGTTGACAACAGAAGCAGCATCAGTCGTCCAGAGAGAAAGAGACCGCGAAGGCTGCCGCTTCTCCTTTCCCCGTGCACTCGTCTCGGTAGCGGGGAAAGACATTTCTTCTCCGCGCCACCCGAAAGCGTGATGCGTACCGAGAGGGAGTCAGCGGGACTGTGAACGGCATCGGAGCGGCTGGCATATGCAGAGATGCTGCGAGCGGAGAGTTAAAAGCTCCCGAGAAGGCAGAGGCAGCAGCAGCTGGGCATTTATTTTGTGGGGAAAGAAAAGAAGAAGAAAGAAGAGAGAGAGAGAGAGAGACGGAACTGCATGAAGAGCAGTACAGCACCATGAGCTCTCCCGGCGCAGCC